AGACCTGTATATGGGGAAAACACACACAAACTATTATTATTGTCAAAATATGTCAGGTGGAAGCACTGCTCAGATTCACAAATGAAGTAAAAGCTGTCATGTAAAAACACTCCATTACAAGCAAAAGTCCTTCATTCAGAATTATTACCACGCAAAAATAATTACATTGTAGTAGTAAGAACTAAATCATACTATACATTTTACATGTTAATATAGCTAATGTTTCAAAGGAAAAATAAACCAAAAAAAAAGTTGAGTTGTCTCATATTTTGGGGATTTTTAGGATTTGATATTTAGTTGATGTCAAGTGAATCTTTGAAGTATCCACCAATTCCAGCCATCAGTTAAACATAGTGGAGAGAACATAGCAGTACCTCTCTCAGAAATCTGGTGAAAGAAAAGTAGAAAGTTTCTAAAAAGAAGACTGAATGAATTCAGCCAATACAACTGTGAACTGCTGCAGCAGCAACCTCTAGTGACCTCTGTGTAGATTACATATCTGCCAGTCAGAGAGGAACTGTGTGATTCTGCACAGCTAACAGTGTCCACTAATTGTCACAGTCTATGTTCAGGTAATTCAAATGTAACTTCTGAGTTTTCCATGTCATTGATGTAACGTCACAGTCTGCTGTCCTGATGTGGATCTGGAGTTAATCCAAATGTCCCCTCTCTGCTTATACTGTTGTCAAATGTCATTCTGCTTGACTTTTTAAATGCCCATAACTCAGTGGGAAATTCATCCTTTAAATGGGGGGGACATGCTGACTGCCTACTGTAACTGTTGAAGTCAGCAGCAATTTCAGAAATTGATTCGTACAGGGTGAATTTTCAAATGATTTTCCAGAAGGTTGACAGAGTGTTGATTTTATTTGTCTAAAGTGTCCACTGCCTCTCATATATTGCACTGGGCTTAGCTTGCAGGAGAGGGACCTTTTTTTTCATGTTCATTCTTATTTCCGTCATGTTAATTGCCATTGATTACTTTGTGAATTATTTTTCAATAAATTGTTTTATCTATAGAATGTGAGAAGAGAGAAATATATGTTATGTCAATACAATATATACATGTTTTCTTCAAATGTCTTTTGTCTAATCACTTATATCCACTTTACTGTGATATAAAACAAATGAGACACTGGAGAAACTGCAAATATAGTTTTAACGACAAACAAATAATGCTAACTATCAAATTTTGATGATTAATTTTACATTGATTTACTAATCAGTTATTTGGCTGTTAAAGCACTAGTGATTACATACAAACTTTTGTTACCTCAATGTTGCTTCTCCTCTCTCTCTTAGGTCATCTGTTGTTCCAGGATGAACCTGTGAGCTACTGCTCAGGCTCTGCAACATTCTCTGGTGCTGCTGCCTCAGGAACCGTAAGAATGTCCTCCTGTGTAACTTCGTTAATGTCTTTGATCAGCTCGTCAGCAATATCAAAACACTTTTCCCACTGCCTTTGTCTCACAAAGTCTTGGAGCTTTGTAGTCACCATCTCCTCTGCTTTTCTCTCAGCACATTTGTGACTATGTTTTCCTCTGCTTCCAAAATGAGCTCGTCAAATAAAACTTGTTTTGTGCAACATTCCGCACAATTGCAAAAACTTGCACAGTCATTATTTGTAGATGAATGCTGGCAGTGGCATGTCCGTGCTATTGACAACACAAAGGTGGCAGTGCCAGTGATCAGAAAGACCGCAAGCATCCCATACCCCTGAAAAAGAAGAATGAAGGTACATGCAGTATTATCACATTTTCTATACATGGCAACAGTTTTCCACAAGTCAATGCCCAGATTGATTTCGTGGGGTATATACAGATGGCAATGACATCTAATAACACTTACCAGTGAGAGGTTTTTCAAGTCAGCAATGATTGCTTGTTCCTCAACTGTTATGTTGCTCTTGTCTTTGCATGCTAACTGTGACTGTTGTTTAGATTGATCATTCTTACAGCAAACATACCAGTCTCCATCGATTAACACGGCTGCAACCCAGAGCACACCTACCAAAGCTGCTTTTACAGCATGTAGACCTAAAATCCACCCAAATGTTTTGCATTTTTCTTTACATGTGCATGAATCTCTATTCGTCTTTGTGCATGGACACGTACATGCATATCTCCAGGCTCTGTAAAATGACTTCGCTGTCCAGAGTATTAAGACAGCTATGATAATAACTGGCACACCCATGTATACATTGCAGTCCAAAGTTTGTGGTTTGCAAGAGCAGGAAAAGTCCCTCTCAAACAAAATGTGATAGGAAAACATAAGAATTACAAATAAAGAGAAATAGAAATATGTCTTATAAAGCTGTGTCACTGCTTTTTTAAGGCTCTCTGTCTTATGTCTGTTCAGACCTAAAGCCTTCTCACTGAATATATAACAGCAGGAATACATGTTTGTGTTATCACTGTGACAGCCCACCTTCCTGGCGTCCTGTACTGCCCCGTCCTATATCCCCCTGGCAGGAGCCTGGGTGGGCCATCAGAGCAACTGGCTGCACCTAAAAGGTAGGAGTGGCCAAGGATACACAAGACCTGCCCCCCAGTCAGCAGTTGATTGTTTTCCTCTTCATTGGTAAGTACAGTTGCTACATACTAAAATAAAATGAATGATAATAGAAGATACAAAGCACTAATGTTAAAGGGATTTCCACACACAATAGTCTTTATGATAATTTATGATATTTTCCGGGCAGAGAATCTTGTCCACACCCTAGATTAGCCTAGAAATGTCATGCATAAGAAATGGTTTCTAGATTCTCTGAGAAGGATCCAGACACATTTAATGGTGCTTGAAAGGTTAGTTAACACTAGAGAGTGGTCTGACTCTGAACAGACATTTGTTGCAATGTGTCTTGACTGGGAAAGCCCAGGAAGACTTTTCAACTTGACTGTCAGCGAGATTGAAAAGTCAAAACTACAGTTTTATAGTCTTACAAACTAGTGCCTGAGCGTTCCCAAACAAAGATTTATAAACTCTTGCACAGCATATAAACATAGCATATACCAGCCAGTAACAATTTGCTCTGCTCATTACAATAGTAGGTTTGGCTGCAATAATGAATATTATGAAGACTATGCTCCAATTATTGGGTATCGCATTTCTCAGCCTCCCAAGGAAAGTCTGCTCCAGGATGCTGGAAAGGAGGCTCTGACCGACTGTTGAACCTCAGATCCAGGAAGAGCAATGTGGATTCCATCCTAGTTGTGGAACAGTGGACCAGCTCTTTACCTTTGCGGGAGTATCAGGTACTGGGCCTGTTACAAGCCATTCTGACCTTGTATAACAAAAGTAAGAGCTGCGTCCTCATTCTCGGCACAAAGTCAAACACCTTTTCAGTGAGTGTTGGGTTCTGCCAAGCAAGGCCTAGGTATAGACAGTGCAGACAGTGCACCTGCACTGCAGCCTGTCGTTACTAACTTACACTACCGCTGCCAAGGTTGTTTGTCCCTTGTTTCTGATTCTGTTTGTAATATTCAGGATACAATCTCAAAGCACAGCCGAGGTGAGGAGTGTGTCTAAGTTTTGGAACTTCAAAATTGCATCTTTGCTTTTCAGATGATGTGGTTTTGATGACTTCATTAAAACATGAACTCCAGTGCTCACTGGGACAGTTTGCAGCCAAGTGTGAAGAGGCCGGGATGAGAGTCAGCACCCTGAAGTCTGAGGCCATGGATCTCAGCTGAAAAAAGCTGAGATAACTCACTCCGGGTTGGGAGAGAGTTGTTGCCCGAAGGAGTTCAAGTGTCTCTGGGTCTTGTTCATGAGTGAGGGTAAGATGGAGTGGGAGGTTGATAGATGGATCGGTGCAGAGGTAATGTGGAGGTTGTACCAGACTTGTGGTGAAGAGGGAGCTGAGCCAGAAGGCAAAGCTCTCGATTTTCAAGTCGATCTTTGTTCAAACTGTCACCTATGGTCATGAGCTCTGGGTCTGAAATTAGTTTCCTCTGCAGGGTGTCTGGGCTCAGCCTTAGAGATAAGGTGAGGAGCTGGGACATCTGGAGGGAGCTTGGAGTAGAATTGCTGCTCCATCACGTCAAAAGGTGCCAGCTGAGTTTGTTCAGGCATCTGATCTGGATGCCTCCTGGGTGCCTTCCTTTTCAGGTTCCCTGGGCACATCCAAGACCCCCGGGGTAGACCCAGAACTCACTGGAGGGATAACATATCCCATCTGGCCTGGGAATACATCGGGATCCCCCAGGAGGTGCTGGAAAGTGTTGCTAGAGAGAGGGATGTCTGGACTACTCTGCTTAGCCTGCCGCTATCGTGACCCGGAGGTAGATTTGATTAGATTAAGGGATTCCGTGCAGAGAGGTAGATTTGATTTTGTTTAAAGATAAAGCACTAAACCATAGGCTAGTGCAGCTTGTTTTCACCATGTTTTCATACACACTGGTATTGTGTTTTTTACCCCAGGCTATGTGAGCTGCGTGAGCTGCTCCTCAGCATGTTGGCATACATGTTTTGTTTTATTGGTGTCCAGGCAGCTGCCACATGAGCTGTTTATCAGCATGTTGACACACCTATTGTGATGTTGTGTCTTTGTGGTGCATCATCTGGTCTGATTGTTGGTTGTCATGGACTGCACCAAAAATTGTCCATCAGGACTTTCACTGCAGACCTAGTTGGATAGAGAATCCCTAGATTAGATTAAAGTTATCAATGTATTTGATGATTGTATTCTATACCAGTACATGCTCCCGTTACGGCACTAATGTCCAGCTAATGATGTCCAGCAGTACCTATTACACACATACTATATCACTAATTTATATTTAAAAAACCCTGATACTGTCATTGTCAATATAGGGTGAAACATCTAATGAAAACATTTCTTTGTGCATACTTTGATGATTAATGAATTAATACTGTACATTGTAGTATAGATTATAGATGTTCGATACAAGGAAGGACAGGAAGGCTTAATCATGATCAGGTGTTTAATAGCTTAGCTTTTGCTAAGTTTATTTTTACAGTAATACAATATAATTACATGTGATTAAAACACAACAGCACAATTATGTGATTTCAAGAGAAAATTAAGGTTTAAAATCAATATAATACTGATTTTTAACCTTAATTCTGTCCTTTTTTTAAGCAGTGACACTGAATGTTGATCAAAGTTCAAGAATCGGCTGACAAAACAAAGAAAGAGTTCAAATGTTACTTCTGTTCACTACAAAGCAAAAGCTGAATGTATTATATGTCACAGTGTGATGAGGCAGGGGTGAGGGTGAGAGACTCAGATGCGGAGGAGGAACCAGTGTGAAAGAATTTATTCAAACAAAAAAACCAAAGTCCATACATGAGCAGATGCCGACAACAACACAGCCACCAAACCTCATAACCAACAATGATCCCCCAAAGACAAGACAGAGCAAGGGCTTTTTAAAGGAACTGATTAACGATGGAGAACAGGTGGGGAAGCAGACACAGGTGGAACACATCAGGGATGATTAACCAAAGGAAGCAAAATTAGAACTCAGACACTGGGGCGACATGACTATCAAAATAAAACAGGAAGCGCACGGGGGAACAGAGCACAAGACAGGGAAGACTACACTAGACACTAGAAATACCCAAACCTGAAATACTCAAACCAGAAATACTCAAAACCCAGAATAGAAACCCAAAACACAGAAAACTAAATCAAGAAAGTCCAAAAAAGTCCAAAAAACCAAAACCCTGGAGCCTCCAGGCTGAGACCATGACATCATATCAAATTCTGTTGCTCTTGGTGGGTACTTGCGGAGGTTTCTGCATGGGTTGCTCTCTGCGGAAAATTAAAGAATTAAAAAAAAAAAAAGTCATATCTTATACTTGAGTGAAAATATCACTTTCATTACATTGCATGTAAAAGTTACATGTGTGAAACTCCAAGGTAAAGGGTTAGGGGAGAAGAGACTGATCACTGAGGGCTGTGATCTCCACTATAAGTCAAAATGCTTTTAACTACAGTTTTTCAGATTTTTGAATTTAATAGTGAACAGAAATTTTAGAATGAAGTTAAGGCGATGTTGGAGAGAAACAATAAAAATGTCACAGGGGAAATTAATTTTTTTTTCCACACTTGTATGTAAGAATCAATATGATGAATCTTCATATGCTATGCAGAGAAAAGTAAAAATATTTAAATATGAAATATAGTGGAGTAAAAGCAATAGATGTATTTTAAATATTTTTATACAAAATGTAATGGAAATAAATTCTGATTAATGCTGTATTAACACCCTGTGTTTTCTTTCTGTCCCGTGTGTTCTGTTCCTGCCACAAATTTATTTTTGTATCAAGAGTGAACTTTAGATAAACCTGATGTGACCTATGTGGAGCTGTGTCTAGTTGACTCATTGGGTCAGAAACAGAAAAAACTGATCCCAGCTGTTCATGTCTGTACGGACAGACATTTTAGTAAGTGTAACATCTGGCAGCCTGAATAACTCACAGCGCTCTTTAAAATCCTGATGAAAAGTTTAACATGGAACTGACAGGTGCTGATAAAACCTCACCTCATCCAGGATTCCTGCTGCCTGTTGTTGTTGTTGCTGTTGTGGTCGTTCTTGCTCTCCTTGTTGATCTATTTCTTGTTGCTGCTGTTGTTGTTGATCAAGAGTTGGTTTGGTTGAATCTTCAATCAGTTTTCTGGCAACATCAAAACAGTCATCCCATTGTTCACCTTCTAGTTTTTTCTTGACTTCAGTTGCCAGTTTGTCCTTTGCACGTTCCCTCAAAATCTCTTCCAGTACATTTTCCTCCTCTTCCAAAATCAGTTTGTAATATACATCACTTCTGCCATTGGAACAGCAACCACAGCCATCAAACTTTTTCCTACATCTAATACATGACATTATGGCTGCCAGAGAAATGATAACAAGGAGTGAACCGGAGCCAATAAGCTGAAAAAGAAAAAAATAATGTTATCGCAAAATCGCAGTTTTTCTTTCATTTCCAGCAGGTTAATTCACAAAAGAAGAAAAACACTCACCCTGGAGTCATTTTTCAGTTCAGCAATGTTTACTTGTTCCTCTGCTGTGATGTTGTTCTTGTTTTTGCAGGCTAACTGTGGATCAAACGTCTTATTCACACAGCAAACATACCAGTCTCCATCGATTAACACAAAGGCAGCCCACAGCGCACCAACTAAAACTGCTTCTAAAATGTGACGGATTAGAGAACCACAAAAACTGCAGCAGTGATACTTGCAGCATCCCGAACCACGATAGTGGGTAACTGTGCATCTACAGAGTCTCTGCAATGACCTGTTTGTATAGAGTATTAAGACAACTATTATACAAACTGGCAGAACCATATATAACCAACAGTCACCGTGGTTTGGTCTGCAAGTGCATTCAAAGTCCCTGTCAAGCAAAATGCTATAACTAAACATGACAATGATTGCAGCATAGGTGCTGAGCTTCTCAAGAAAAAAATTTAGCAGTAATGGTAATTCCTTCATCTCTGATGTGCAGTTGGCATTAGCTAACACCCTGCAGCTTAGACCCTGTGAATTTATACCTCTCAAAACCCACTGTTTCCTGTTTTTTTGTTTTCTTTCTTTTTTTCATTGAAGTCTAAACCATGGGCTACAGTTGCACTGTGTGAAATTACTCTCATGTGCAGATGGCATTTGCTGACACCATGCAACTTATATCACTCGAAATCCATTGTTTCCTGTTTGTTTTTTCTTTTTCTTTTTTATTTTATAGAAGTCTAAAGCGTGACCAACACTTGCACTGTGTGTGAAATTACTCTGATGTGCAGTTGGCATCTGCTGACACCATGCAGCTTATACCTGGACTTATACACATTGAAACCTACTGTTTCCTGTTTTTTTGTTTGTTTTTTACAGATATATACAGTGTGTGCTAGAGCTACACTGTATGGGCTTTTGAGAGACAATTGTGTACCCTACAGTGCTGGTCCATTTTTGTACATGACTGAGCTTTTGAGATTGGGATTGCAGTCTTTGTAGAAATTATTACAACAATAATAATAGAGGCTAATGATAATAATAATAATAATAATAATAATAATAATAAAAATAACAATAATAGCTCAAAGTACCTTAACCACTATTACTACTAGGCTACTAATACTATTACTAATGATGATAATCTCTCTATGAGCTACACAAGTTTTTCAATGCTGCAGGTACGCTTAGGGTTGAAATGGTACAACTTTGTTCTTTCTGTTGTTTTAAATCCCTTTGTACCCTTTCTGTTAGTCAAAAAGTGCACTTCTAGCCTCTGACCAATATTGTACTTTTGAGGGAACATTCTTCAAAAGTGGACCTGTAAGTACAGAACTATTCTTGTCTGGTACCTCCATTTTTGAGCGTGTAGGAGACATTACATTGATATATTATAAAGCACAACAGCAGGAAAACTTCTGTCTCATCAGATTAGGCTATCAGCTGCTGACATAGCCATCCGCGAAATTCATGAGCCCTCTGACTTCTGAAACACTAACCCCAAAACCCAAAAATAAACAAAAATCATGTTAAACTTAACACAGGGGTATCATTTCCAGTGGGGGGCATGTCCCCCTCACTTTTCAAAGTCTACCTATTTTGTGCCCCTGACTTTTGTAATTATGGCTTGATTTCCTGACGAAGGTCTCTCTGGATGTTGTTCTTGTATCTGTGAGTCATGTCAAGGATGGCTACACACATGCTGCAGCCTCCACTCTCAAACCCTTAGACTTGCATAGGTGTGATAAACACTAAACATAAATGCCTTATTGGACATTCGCCACCCTGTATAACATCTATTCTGGACTGGACCACAGGACCCGACCAAACTCGTTCTAACATATGCCTCTAGTCCAGAGGGTTTACTCTGAACTTGGAAAATCTGCCTTTAGTTTTTGTGCACCAAACACATGGAATTAACTACAACATACTCTCCATCGACAAGCTCACCACCACTGGACAATTAAAGATGATCCCAAACCACTTCACCTCGGTGTACAACTGTTTTCATTGTGAATTGTCTTTTAAATTTTAACTGTGAAACAATGAACTTCAAAGCTTAAATAAATAAATGAGAAATGAGAAGAACAACCCTGATCTCTCTCTCTCTCTCTCTCTCTCTCTTTCTCTCTCTCTCTCTCTCTCTCTCAGGTGCTTGCTCGTTGTGGGAACTGTTGAGCTTCACTCTATGATATTGTAAGGTTTGGATCTTACCTTGTAAAGTGCCATGAGATAATGTTTGTTATGATTTGGCGCTTTTCTAAAAAAAAACTCACTTAAAGTCATGGCTAATAGAGAAGCTACAGTCAAAACCAACACCTCCTGTTAAGACGACTGTAAGCATGTCAGAGTGGAAACTGATGGAGTGGCGACCTCTAGTGGCTCCTGTGCAGATCACACGTCATCAAGCCTCACAATCGTAAGGAAACTTGTATGAATCAGGTACTAATACGATTGTGACTGGTTCCTACTGGTATGTAAATGTAGGTTCAGTGGAAGAAAATAAGACTGGGGAACAACAAGTGAACAGAGAAATAAATGATACTACCTGCAGGGTACTCAGTCACTCACATTATATCCCAACCATAGACCTTTTTCTTACTGTGTAAGGACAGCAATGTGTGGGGGAAACTTTGTGTTGGAGAAACTTTAATGAAGTATCATTATTTTATTTTAAATTGAATGCACGAGACTGAAGAACAAAAAATGTGTAACTGTTAAAATACTTATGGTTTGGAATATATGAACCATAATGTGGCTATACATACATTATATAGCCACATGCTTTGGACTCAGCTGCAAACCGCCCAGTGCACGCTGAAGGTCACGGTCTGATGAAGCCATCAGAACCACATCATCTGTGAAAAGCAGAGAACTGATTCTGAGGTTCCCAATCCGAACACTCTCCTGCCCCCAGCTGCGCCTTGAGATCCTGTTCATGAAATTCACTAGAGACAAGACAACCCTGATGGAGCCCAACACCAACCTGAAACATGGTTCTGAGAATACAATTCTCACTCTGCTTATATAAAGACTGGGTGGCTTGTAATAACTCCTACAGTGCCTTCCACAGGACCCCCCGAGAGACACAGTCATAAGCCTTCCCCAAGACCACAAAACACATGTAAACTCCTATAACCCCTTTAGTTACCTTAAACATAAATTATTTTTCTTAACCTTAACCAAAATAACTTATTGTGATAATAATACTTTAATAACTGTAATAAAATTAACTTAAAACTAGAATTACTGCCTTGCATTTATATGCCTCTGCCAAACAATCCAGTTGCAGTTTACATCCTTCCCTATGCAGACTCCAGTACTTATGTACTGAATACTTTAATTTAATTTTGTCATAATTAACATATGAATTCTTGAGTTATGGCCAAAAACATGGTTTGTAAGGTCACAGTGACCTTTGACCATCAAATCTAATCCGCTCATCCTTGAGTCCAAGTGAATGTTTGTACCGAATCTTAACAAATTCCCTCAAGGTGTTGCTGAGATATTGCGTTCATGAGAATAGGATGGACCACAGAGCTGTTGCCAGTGCAGTGGCTTTATAAGATTAGCAAAAGCATTGATAGTAAAAACAGCTGAAAGTAGCACATTGTTGAGGCAGCCCATTGAGGGTTAAGTTCCCAGGACAGAACTATAACTTTTACAGGATGTCACATGAAAATGTCACATGAACAGACTTTTGTGTGAACACATTTCACAGTTGTTCATTTAAACCAGAGTCCTGTTCACCAATGAAGGAGTTAATGCTGCGGCAGCAGCAGCGTTGATGTTATTACTGATGTCTGGTAACATTAGAGTACAGAGAGGAATCATCGCTGGTGAGGCCGCCATCAGAGCTCGCTTCTACCCGAGGCACAGAGTAGATGACATCCTCGGTTCTGCCACGGGGGACGCTGCTGGGCGAGCCACCGGCCCTGTTGGAGAAATACACCTTAGAGTAGGTGAGTTTACTTGAGTCATCTTCAGTCTGGAAAGAGAAAACAAAGAGAGGTCAGAGGGTCTAAGTATGAAGCATGTGTACTCATGGAGAATTCTACTTAACAATCACAGTGATGTTTACATTAATTGTTTTTCACCACTGTATTAATGAGACTGAAAAAAAGGTTCTTCATGAAACATTTGATCATTTATCATTTTCTTCCATGTTTACTAGCTAGCAGTCTTCACTAAATTTCTTGGCAGGTTACCACCACCACCGTCAGTCTTTGTCAAACTATATCAATTATCTTAATAAAATATTATGACTGAGATTTTATTACTGGTTCTGAATAACTTAATGCTTGAAACTAGAATTAACTGGCTGACTAGAGCCACCAATTGCTGCCATACCATTTCCTGCCAGGAGATGGCTGCAGCGCACTTCAACTGTAATTTCCCATGTTCCATGATACATGAACGTTTTCATCATCAACATCTTTTCATGTTCATTCAGTATTTCCCGTTAATAACCTAGACCGTGGTCCACCACAGTCCAATATGTCCCGCCGCAGTTTCATAATGAACTGAAAATATATTTACCCTTCTCATAACAACATAATAAATATCTCATGTTGTGTTTTGTTGATTCACTGGGCACAGCGCAGTGTAACTATAGACATTGTCTATATCAATCAATAAAAAACCAAAAACACTTCATTTTCATTTAACAAAAGTTATTATGAAACTAGGATTACCTGCTCATGGTTATATGCCTCCACCACTCAGATTACATCCCTGTTTATCCAGAATCATATCAAATATTTACCATTTGTGTGAGATTTGAAGTCTTAAGTTGGGGCTAAAAAATGTTTTGTGAGGTCACACTAACCTTTACCTTTGTCCACCAAAATCTAATCAGTTCATCCTTGAGTCCTAGTGAACGTCTGTGCCAAATATGAAGAAGTTCTGTCAAGGTGTTATCGTGTCCACGAGAATGAGCCAGGACGGACAACCCAAAAACAATAAAGAATGACGACTAAATATGTAAAAAAAAAAAAAACAATTCTAGGTTGGGTCTTTGACTGGAGAGACAGTTTCTTATGAAAAGGTATAAAAATCAAAGTATAACCATGTCAGGCTTTTTATAAGATGCAGCAAAACCCTCCTGTTTTCAGAGCCAAACGCTAAGATCATAACACTGTCTTCCCTTACTTTGTGCTTAGAACTGGGAGTAGAGAAAAAGCTGTAGTCATCACTGGTTTCAACTCCATTTGGTTTGGTATACTTGGCATAAGCGTAAGCTGAAGAGATTCCCTCCTCTGCGATATCCTCATGCACTCGGTTGCCCTATGGGAGAGGAACAGAGGTCTGGTTTGTATTTATATCAGCTGGTCTCACATATATTGAATCAAACTTCCTCAAACTCACCTCTGTGACAGAAGCATATTCCACAGGTGGTTCTGAAAATCATAAGAGTAAGTTTAAACCATTGCGTTATGTGGGAGAGTTTAGTGAAGTGAAAGGGACAGTTTCATGTCAGTGTTGTGAAAATAACAGGAAGTTAGTTATTACAGTTTGGCCCGTTCGTCACCAAGGTCAGCAGTTGGAGCTACAGCAGTGAAAGGAGACAAATAAGATGCTTTGACACCCTTGGGGCCAGACTGCTGCCATTTGACACACAGTCATGATGTACATGATGAGTGACCTGTGCTTTCCCAGGAAATCCTTATCTCTGATGTACATTGTAAACATTGTGATCATTCATAAATCTGCTTCTGTAACTCCAGAACCTGGCTGAGAATCATCATATTTTTAAGTGTGCCTCAGTATCAGAGTGATCCAGTGACATCCATATGTTTGTTAGAAAAAGAAAGTACTAAAAGCTAATTCAGCATTATTTTAATAGTGCCAGTTTGCCATCTACTAAAGCCCTTGCATTAGGGAACTGTAGTTTCTGAACTTAGAACATGATTATTTCCCCATCTAAAGAGTCAGACTTTGAAAACCTCTGCACTAAACTGTATATCTAAACATCTGGCTGAGTCAAAAAGAGATATTGCTCATAAACAGATCTCATTTGCCCAGAACTGCCAGTCTTTGGCAAAAATGAAAATGTTTCTCCAGTGAGTGATTCAAGCATCATTTCAGTCATTAAGATGTACTATCCTTTAAAGTTGTGCAGCAGCTGTACAGTCCTGCTAATGTAAACTATAAACTATAAATTAATGAATAACTTTGGAAAACATCTGATGTACAAAGACACAACAATTAAAATGTTCATTTTTCTGTGAGAAATGGGAAGTTTCAGTAGTGTAGCGCACCAGTGTGTGTGTGCACGTTTCCTGTTACGGCACCCTCAGGTTTAGATTTCCTCTTTCTGCAGAATATCAGCGCAGCCACTGATAACAGGACGACCATGACGGCCAGACTCAGGCCCACATACAGCATCACACCTGTGGTAGTTTGAGGAGAAGAACAAGCTTATTTTACACCGACACTCCCTGATTGATCATATGATATATATGATATTAATGTTATGTACTGGACTCTCAGGTATATGAGGCTCCTGATGGCATGCATACAGCACACTACACATATTTCATTTCTATAAATCTTGGACATTATAGCAGCAGGCTGGAAGCAGGGGGGAACAGCTAGCCTGGCTTTGCCCTAAGGCAACAACATCCACCTACAAACACCTCCAACTCTCATTAATTAACATGTTATAATTCAATTGTTGAATCCAAACAGAAACCAATATGTAAGCTCGGCTTCCCGGCAGCTGCTGTAGCTTCACGTTTAGCGTACAGACATGAGAGTGGTGTCCATCTTCTCATCTGACTTGTGTCAAGAAAGCAGGTGTATCTCTTAAATCATCAAACTATTTCTACACAGCTTCTGTGGCCACGTTGTCAGTGTGTACATCATTTCCTAGCTGACTCAGGACTATTATGACCACGACTGAAATGTTCCATGCTGTGAGAAATGTTTCGTCACCTTCCTCCCTGCATCAGTGTATTTGAGTACAGCCATTACTCACTCAGGTCCATCACACTGTAAACGCCACAAAGAGCCCATCTATTATGACAGCTTCTGTTTCACCTGCTTTCATTCCTCATGGTATTTTCTCACAGAGGTTTCTTTGATTGGTCTTTCTAGAACGTGAAAACTTGATGATACATAAGTCTGAGTCCTCACTCAGCTGTGAGAGAGGAAAACACAAGGCTCAAGAAATAAATGATGCTGTTTGGAACAGATGAAGTGTTCATGCCATTTGTGCTGGATGGATGAAAAATCTTATAAAGTTTACAGTATATATAAACACACACAGACACACAGATACACGCACACACACAGACACACACACACACACAGACACACACACAGACACACAGACACACACACACACACACACACACACACACACAGACACACACACACACACACACACTAAAAGAAACCCTAGGATCTGTGGTCATAGACTTTCATCTATTAAATACAGTGTGAAGATTTACCTTCAGTTGTTGTCTCAGGCGGGTCGGTGACTTCAAGGAAAACTGATGAAGATGTTGTTGTTGTTGCTGGTGTTGTTGTTGTTGCTGGTGTTGTTGTTGGTGTTGGTGCGGAGGTTGTTGGCACTGATGCTGAAAAAGGAAAAACATACTGATAGAAAGAAATCCTGATGGTGGAAATGAGATGACCTTTGAACTAAGCGCTGCTGGAGAAAAACTGGCAAGAATGATTTGAGAGTACAAGTAATATCTTTGAAAATAATCAGTATCACTTTATTCTTCAAAACATTTTTGTCATTCTTAAGTAATAAATGTCATTGGTCATTAATATTTAGATAAACATTAGTTTGTACATGTGTGAGTCACAGTTTGGGTTTGCCAGTTATTTTACAGCAGGACTGTTGGTTCTGAAATGAGCATCTATCAGTTTTCACTATGATAAAAATACAAAGCGATGTGGTTGTAAGACTGAATATCAGCTTCTTTAAAACAGCAGCAGCTGCCAGACAATGATAAAAATATCTTTCACACCTCCAGAGACATCGAGGAACATTTTCTCTCAGTTCAGTAGAAACTCACCGTCTGAAACAAAGATCTCAAAGTCCCTGTGTGAAGATGAAGAAAAGGTTCTGCCCTGACGACACCTGTACCGTCCTGAGTCAGACGTGGTCAGCTGTGTGATGGTCACAAAGAGAAATCCTCCTCCTCCTTCAGATCCTGTTATATATATGATGCTGTATCTGCCTCTCTGACGTGTGTCAGCACCTGTTTCAATAAGAATGTCGTCTCGTGTTTTACATTGGTTCTTACAGAAGAACTTCCATGTTCCAGTGGAAGTAAAGGAGCATTCCACTGTGACAGTTCCTCCAGTTCTTTTATTGAGCTTTTTTACACGGTTTCCATCCAGCAGTGCTGATGAAGAGACAAACATCAGTTACTATCTGTGCTTAAGATGATGCAGTCTGATCACAACTTTCCTGCTTCACATTTAGACCCACAGTCACACTGGGAGCTGCCCAGATCAACTAGTCTGACTCCCACAGTTTAATACAACAATGATTTAAGTGGATTCTTCACCTTCTGACTGGATTCTATTTGCTTCCATTAATGTTGACACTTAAACAGAACAATCAGCTTTGCAAGTGTAAATTATGAGACGTAACGAACTGACCTGATAATTAAATCTAATATTTTTCTTCATTCGTGAACAACTGAAACTTAGTTTTCTGCTTGAGGATGAATTTTCATCCGTTCATTGCCTCTTTACATATGAAAAATGTTTTTTTATGCTCTACCTATCTTGTTAAAAGTATTCTGTGGTGGCAGGTGAACAATGAAACCTTTCTGTTCAGAGACACAAACTGTTCAGTGTCGCACTCAAGATGAAGAAGTATGAAAAATACTGTGCAACAATCATGTGCTGTCATCAGGCAGCTCCTGCTCCTGATATAAAATTCTTCATCACAGTAACAATAAGTGTGTATGTGTGTGATTCATTAATATTCAAATAAACTGGTGTCTCACTCCATCAGTTACTTTACAGCAGATCTGTCTGTTTTAAACCAACATTAATCAATGTTCACTGTGATATAAAATATAAAGAATTCAATATATCAGCAGCTGCCAGTGAACTGTGACACTTCTCTTCAGACCTTCAAAGACAAGAAAGAAACATTTTTATGACTTTTAGTAGAAACTCACCGTCTGTGACGATGATTTCTAAATCCTTATATGAAGAGCGAGATGTGCCCAGACGACACCAGTATCGTCCTGAGTCAGACTTGGTCAGCTGTGTGATGGTCACAAACAGATCTCCTCCATTTAAAGATCCTTCTTTATATTCCATGCTGTATCTGCCGCTCTGAGCTCTGTTATTAGTTGTTTCAATGAGAATGTCTTCTTCTTTACATTGGTTCTTACAGAAGACCTTCTTTTGACGAGAGAGACTAAAGGAGCATTGAACTGTGACGTCTCCTCCTTCAGTGCCTGAGTAGACAGGAGCAGCGCTTCCATCCTGCAGAGCTGTTGAACAGGTGAACAATCAATAGTTATCTCTACTTCCTGTAAGATGCTGCGGTCTGATCACAGTATTTCCTGCTTCACATTTAGACCCACAGTCACACTGGGAGCTGCCCAGATCAACCACAGTCTGACTGAGGATCACAGACCTGCACTGCTGAGTTTCCCCGTACAAATAAAGGTTTCAAAGAATAAAACGTGTAAAAAGTATCTGAGCCACTCTGGATCTTTTTACATGTTTTAATGTTGCTGTTACATTTTTTTCTTCCTCCTCCTTCCTTTCTTCTCTCTCTCTTTTCATACACCAAAGAGCCAGAATAAAGGAAACTGTTTGCATGACAATAATTAAACCCATGTAAATCTACTACTAAGGCTGTGATGTAAATCATTTAGTAGAATATTATCATCCAACAGAGAGGAAAACTTTCTGTAACTCATGGAAACACAAAAATACAGCACAGCACAACATACAGTATAGCACAGTAGTCACAGAGCACCATCATGTGAAATACTACACAAAAAAGCAAAAAAGAAATCATATATGACAGTAAATGGAACATTTTTGGATTTTAGATGAGTGGGTGAATAAAACCAGCCATCAGAATAGATTACCTTCGGCTGTGGGAAATTTATACAATCTTTCGCTTTATTCTGACATTTGAAAATTGTTCAAGAAAATAATAAGCAGATTAATCGATAATGATAATTGTTGATTGCAGCCCTGAAAGCAAACGTAAAAATCAAAAGCATAGAATGTTTTTAAAATGAAGAAAACTAAAACAAATGAAATCTGCAGACTAATAGCACAGAACAAATCTTGTTTCTGACCAATCATGACGTTGTTGTTAATGATACCTTAATTTTACTTGTGAAAAATGCTGAAAATACATGATGTAAACTGATGTACAGTTTATTTAGCAGAAGTTACTTGCTGTATTTTAGATGACATTTTTTAGTCTGTGCTGAAACAAAACTCACAAGCTCATATGTTTTTGTTCTGTTATTGTTTCTTCTGTCTGAACTGGCCACAAACAGATTCTTCAGTGTATTTTCAATAGAAGAAACAAACTCCACAGACGTGGTTCTGTGCAGACTCTAAGATAATCTGTTTTAGGCCAGACTTGAAAAGGTGTGAAACTATCCTTTAGAGCGACTCATGCCTGAGCAGCTGTGATTAAACATAATGATAAAATTATCAATAAAATTACCCAATAATACAAAATGACAGGAATGCAAAGTGGATGTACTCACAGAGGAAGAAGCAGCAGATCAAAGTGAGACAGACTTTCATGTTGAGGCTCTGAGCGTTTACCGCTGCCTCTCTTCCTTCTTCACTGGTAAATAAGAAACTTCTCACTTCTCTAAATGATGAAGTCCCTCCTCCGAACACAACACACATATTATTACAATCATCACAATTAACACTCTGACACTGATACATGACTAATTAACAGTAATGACACCGTCAGGGAGCATGTGCGAAAACGGCAGTAAAGAAGTTTATCAACCTGATGTGGCTGTCAATGGCTCTCAAATGTTACAGGGATTCAAGCTCCATCACGTGATTGTGACAGCACACAATACTATAGCGACGTGGACCAGTACAAGGCCAGAGACAAGTAACAGAAAGTATACTTACAATCTCATGGACGCACAGGAGACAACCAGGTAACTAGCATGAAATAAGAGTACAGAGTTAGAGGTGGGCGATACACAAAATCTCTTCTCGATCCGATACCAAGTAATACAAGGCCAGACTTGCCAATATCGATATCAATACTTCTCCTCATTAAAGGCGGCTTGTGTATTTTCATGTAGGGGAGAGCAGTGTCGTGATTTATGAGGTAAATGCATCATCAATAGGCTAAATCTTCATTCATTTTAATGACCAGGAGCAAAACAAAAAGTGGCTTCATTCATTCAGGCAGCACTTTGTAAAACCAGTGCTAAATGGAAGACAATACTCGTCTTTCATACACGCTTCACTGCATTCATTTTTTTAAACTGATTTTTTTAATGCGATAGGGACAGTAAGAGAGAGACAGGAAAGAGGGGATGGCAGTGGCACGGGCTGGATTCAAACCTGGGCCACTGCGGTAAGGACTGAATTTAAATGGTGTGCGCTCCACCAGGTGGAGGCGGTCAAGTGCTGCCTTTATGTGTTGGAGCGGCGTAAGTGCACTGGTTCATGTTTGAGTGCGCGCGACATGACAACAGCGGTGGCAGCAGCGGGAGCGCTGACTCAGTGTCCGCGACAACAGAACATGGGCTGCACAGACACTTCTGCTCTGAAATGAGTCCAACAGAGAAGAGAGACTGAAACTGGTATCGATCTTCAAAAACGAGACGATAGTATCGATATTTTGGGATCAATCCACCCAGCCCGGTTCAGCTGTGCAGCCCATGTTCTGTTGTCGCGGACACTGAGTCAGCGCTCCCGCTGCTGCCACCGCTGTTGTCATGTCGCGCGCACTCAAACTTGAACCAGTGCACTTACGCCGCTCCAACACATAAAGGCAGCACTTGACCGCCTCCACCTGGTGGAGGCACACCATTTAAATTCAGTCCTTACCGCAGTGGCCCAGGTTTGAATCCAGCCGTGCCACTGCCATCCCCTCTTTCCTGTCTCTCTCTTACTGTCCCTATCGCATTAAAAAAATCAGTTTAAAAAAATGAATGCAGTGAAGCGTGTATGAAAGACGAGTATTGTCTTCCATTTAGCACTGGTTTTACAAAGTGCTGCCTGAATGAATGAAGCCACTTTTTGTTCTGCTCCTGGTCATTAAAATGAATGAAGATTTAGCCTATTGATGATGCATTTACCTCATAAATCACGACACTGCTCTCCCCTACATGAAAATACACAAGCCGCCTTTAATGAGGAGAAGTATTGATATCGATATTGGCAAGTCTGGCCTTGTATTACTTGGTATCGGATCGAGAAGAGATTTTGTGTATCGCCCACCTCTAACTCTGTACTCTTATTTCATGCTAGTTACCTGGTTGTCTCCTGTGCGTCCATGAGATTGTAAGTATACTTTCTGTTACTTGTCTCTGGCCTTGTACTGGTCCACGTCGCTATAGTATTGTGTGCTGTCACAATCACGTGATGGAGCTTGAATCCCTGTAACATTTGAGAGCCATTGACAGCCACATCAGGTTGATAAACTTCTTTACTGCCGTTTTCGCACATGCTCCCTGACGGTGTCATTACTGTTAATTAGTCATGTATCAGTGTCAGAGTGTTAATTGTGATGATTGTATAATATGTGTGTTGTGTTCGGAGGAGGGACTTCATCATTTAGAGAAGTGAGAAGTTTCTTATTTACCAGTGAAGAAGGAAGAGAGGCAGCGGTAAACGCTCAGAGCCTCAACATGAAAGTCTGTCTCACTTTGATCTGCTGCTTCTTCTCTGTGAGTACATCACTTTGCATTCCTGTCATTTTGATTATTGGGTAATTTTATTGATAATTTTATATTATGTTTAATCACAGCTGCTCAGGCATGAGTCGTCTAAAGGATAGTTTCACACCTTTTCAGTCTGGCCTAAAACAGATTATCTTAGAGTCTGCACAGAACCACGTCTGTGGAGTTTGTTTCTTCTATTGAAAATACACTGAAGAAATCTGTTTGTGGCCAGTTCAGACAGAAGAAACAATAACAGAACAAAAACATATGAGCTTGTGAGTTTTGTTTCAGCACAGACTAAAAAAATGTCATCTAAAATACAGCAAGTAACTTCTGCTAAATAAACTGTACATCAGTTTACATCATGTATTTTCAGCATTTTTCACAAGTAAAATTAAGGTATCATTAACAACAACGTCATGATTGGTCAGAAACAAGATTTGTTCTGTGCTATTAGTCTGCAGATTTCATTTGTTTTAGTTTTCTTCATTTTAAAAACATTCTATGCTTTTGATTTTTACGTTTG